CCTCCATCGCCAGGGCAACCAAGCCTCCTGCTTGCTTCAGCTCCATGGCTGCCAGCTGCCATCTTGGTTGGGTTAATTTGCATATAGTCGCTCTGATTGGCTGGTAGGCGTGGCTTAAGGCATAGCAAAGGGATGGTCAATTTGCATGTTTGTCTTTTATTAGATTATTTTTATTTATTTTATTATTTTGTTAATCCTCACTCAAGGATACTTTTCCATTGATTTTCCAGAGAGAGGGAAAGACAGAGACAAACACTGATGTGAGAGAAACATATCAATTGGGTGCCTCCTGCAGGAGCCTGACCACACCCGGGCCAGGGAAGAGCCTGCAATTGGGGTAATCACTGGAGCAACCAAGCCTCCTGCTCGCTCCGTGGCTGACGGCCACGATCTTGGTTGGGTTAATTTGCATATAGTCGCTCTGATTGGCTGGTAGGCGTGGCTTAAGGCATAGCAAAGGTATGGTCAATTTGCATGTTTGTCTTTTATTAGATTATTTTTATTTATTTTATTATTTTGTTAATCCTCACTCAAGGATACTTTTCCATTGATTTTCCAGAGAGAGGGAAAGACAGAGACAAACACTGATGTGAGAGAAACATATCAATTGGGTGCCTCCTGCAGGAGCCTGACCACACCCGGGCCAGGGAAGAGCCTGCAATCGGGGTACGTGCCCTTGACAGGAATCAAACCCAGGACCCTTCCGTCTGCAGGCTTTCTGTCCACGGAGCCAAACTGGCTAGGGCTGTTTCCTCATTTTAAATGTTTCCTTATTTTAAAATGGGGGTAAGATTAATAACATTGGCTAACTGTTTTCAAGCTTTTCCTTTGTGCCAGGCACTGTGCTAAATGCTTGTCCCTGCACTATCTCACAGGGCTGTGAGGACTGGATGAGTCGCTGGTTAGGGCCCTGGCCCTCCACAAATAACTGGTAAAGGACAGTGGGGACCATGGTGCTCCAAAGTTTACAGGGCAGGTTCACTTATTTTTACTTTAAAAAAATGTTTTTGTTGACTTCAGAGAGAGGAAGCGAAAGAGAGAGAGAGAGAGATAGAAACATTAATGAAGAGAGAGAATTATCAATTGGCTGCCTCCTGCATGCCCCCTACTGGTGACTGAGCCCCAAACCCAGGCATGTGCCCTGACGGGGAATCGAACCACGGCCTCTGATTCATGGGTTGACACTCAACCACTGAACCACACCAGCAGGGCTTACTTTTTATTTTGAAATAATTCTAGACTCATGTAGAAGTTACACAACAGTACAGAGAGTTCCTGTGTACCATCCCCGCAGCTGGGCCAAGTGAAGTTTCTGTGTAAACACGTGTGTGTACCTGTCTCCACGTGTGCACAAGCATCAAGCCGCATCCTCCCATTGTTAACACCTTACATAACCATCCTCCCATTGTTAACACCTTACATAATCATAGTACAATGATCCAAACCAGGAAATTGACATTGGTAGCACACTATAAACTAAACTACCAATCTTATTTGGATTTCATAAGTTTTTAATTTTTCAGTTCTCATCACCTTAAACCTGAGAAAGCAGCAAGTGTCCGAGAATGCAAAGAGGACCTCGCTGCCATATTGGCCAGCACTCTCCCTACCCCCAACCTAACTCCATGTCACTGGCCCACATGTGTGTGTGTGTACCTGGTCCTTACCTTTCCTTTGTGTCCCCCCAGTGCCCCAAGTGACCTCAGAGAAGACCCCTCTGGGCAGAACTGGGGTCCTCTCTGTCTTCCTGGCAGCAGTCACTGTGAGAAGAGAAACCCCTTAACCCTGGCCGAGTCAAATACTTCTCTCTGAGGGCCACTGGCAGCCAAGCCAGGCCTGGACACACGCCAGGTCCACTAGCAGCCAGCACCAAAATAGGGTTGCCTCACAGACAGCTCCTGTCCCCAGCCTGCTTTGGGGACTTGGATACATGCCGCTCTTATTCAAAGACAGAAAAAGAAAAAACACAACACACAAAAAAACACCAAACCACATCTAATGGAAAATATGCCCCAAATGTTTAACTATATTTGGTGCAACAAGAGCTGCCCCTAGATGCCTACATCTCGTTCAGATTTTCCGACCCAAGTTGTCCAAGGCACCCCTTTTAGGTACTTCACAGCTCCTGTTCCCAAACAGGCATTGACTCCTGCCCAGTCCAAGGAAAAATATTAGCCCACCCCTGGGCCTGGTCTCCCTAGTCCCTTATAGCACAACGGCCTCCCAAGGTTGCTGTCAGCTCCACTACAGAGAGATGACAGGGGGGTGAGGCCCAGAGAAGGAAGGATGCACCCACAGCCCACAACACCTATCTATGAAGGAACCTGAACTCACGTCTTCTAGGCTGGGCTGCCTCCCCACGGGCACCCCCTCACTCCCTTTGCTCAGTGGACCCGTCAACTTCCAGCTCTATCTGGGCAGAGTACAGGGGAAGAGCAGAAGCTCCCAGCCCAGCTGAGGATGTGGAACATGCCTGGTGAGCTGGAAGAAGCTCAGGGGTCATCTTACCCACTTTCTCCCACTCTGGGGGGTGGGGCTCCTTTCCAAGTCACAGCGATGTCCTTTCCTCCCATCACCTAGTTTCTGTCCCAAGGGCAGTCTGGTATCTTTACATACATGGACCTCATAACGTCTGGTTCTAAATAACGTTCTGTGGACTTGAACGCTGAGAGAAGAGTCTTTTCCCAAAGCATTTTTCTCTCATTTACAGTAATTTTCTTAAAGGCACCAAAGGGGGTCAGGTGAGTGTGTATAGGACGATGCCTCAGAAATGGTGACGATGTGCTTGCTGGAGCAGAATGAGGGCAAGACAGAAGCCATCGCTCTGCCCCGGGCAAGCCAGATGAGATGGCCCCAGCCCTCTGCAAGAGAATGTTCTCCCGGCGCTCAGCACAGGCCAAGCCCTTTCACAGGCACGGAATCTCTCAGCTCCTACTGGCTCTACCAGTCACAATGCCTAACAAGGCACAGCTTTTACACAGACAGAACAGTCTGTTAGTCACCTCTTCCCAGATGGGGAAACCAAGGCTCAGAGAACTCAGTGCTATGCAGACCTCCGCCCCCAGGCCCTCTACAGAGGAAGGCTGCCCTTAGTGGAAAGCAACTGGTTAGGTGTCTTATCTTGCTTTGAACCTGAGGTTCTCCATGATCTTAGGCAAATCACTTCCTCAGTTTCTTTATCTGTAAAATGGGGTTAATAATAGACACTGTTCTTTAAAGGACAATCCTAAAATCAAAATTCAATTTCATGTCTAGAAGCACCTGTGTTGTACCCAGTACTGTGCCCCATAATGGACATGGGGACAAATACAGGTTCCCACCCTCCAGAGGCTCCAGGGGAGCTCAAGCTCTCGGAAGATCTTTGAAAAGGGTAAAGAGTGGTTCTCCATCTCCTCATGGCTAACTCTGCCCTTGGATGTGCAGACCTTTCTCCATAGAAGGAAAGGCTGTGGGGTCCCGGGGTCCCCATTGTTACTGGAACCAGCCATGGGAGCGTGGCTGAAATGTTTAGACAGTGAAACAGAACCTCCAGGAGTGGCACTGGCCTCCCGGAATGGCTGAGGGGAGAGCATCTGGTCATCTCTCCAGCTCATAGGCGCTCAGGGTGGGATGACTAAGCATTCCGGGGCTGCTGCCCCCACACAGTCTGACCATGCATTCCACTACCAGGTCAGAACTCCAAAATTACTCAACCAGGAAGCTCACAACACCAGGAGAATAGGCTCCTCGGAGGGACCCTGCACAAAGGGTATAGACTGGAGGCGGTCACCAGGTAAAATACAGGATGCTCAGGTAAATGTGAATTTCAGGTAGGTAGCGAATAATTGTTAGCATATGCATGCAGCCTTGAGCTAGGCAGACTGTCTTTTGAGGCACCATCCTTTAGAATCCCTGTTGTCCCTTTGCAGACACTCCCGCTTGTATGCCTTTCCTTCCCCCCTTCTCCCCTCGCCTCCCCTCTCCAGTTCCCCCCACTCCATCTGATTTCATGTTCTGGTTTCTCCCATCACTTCCCCCGACCAGCACACAATGGCATCCTGTGTCCCACTCCCATCGGCATTCACCTCTGCTAATCAAAGGGCTCTCCTCAAAATTTGAACAGAGACACACACAGAGATGATGTGAAGACACAGGGAAAAGGCAAGGAGGCCTTAGAAGAAACCAGCCCTGCTGACACCTTGAACTTGGGCTTCTAGCCTCCAGAACCATGGGAAAATAAATTTGTGGTGTTTAAAAAAAACCCACAAAAAACAAAGGGCTCTCCTCAGATCTGCTGTGTGACCTTGGCCCAGAAGCCTCAGCTCCCTGGGCTATTTCCTCCATGTAGCATGGAGCGGCTGTCAAAGACTGGTGGTCAAGCCAAGCTTTGAGGAGCAAACCCCAGTCACTGGCCTGGCACTCCTGACTTAAGCAGGGGAGCCCTTTCGATTTCTCTGTTCAACACTCTGGGGTTCTGTTTAAGTTCTCTTCACCCAAGTGGTTCCTTACCCAAGTTGGCATATTCACTGATAAACCTCCTGGTCAGAAGTCTGCTACTCAAGGAAATCATTCTAAAAACTATTGGCCTAAATAGCCCTCAGGTCCTTTCTCGCTCTGACACTGGGATTCAACATTCCTGCCTGAGCTGGGGGGCTGGTGGGCACCAATGGTCTAAGCAGTTCGTTCCTTCAGGTGTCACGGGGCATCCCATCAGATGCCTGCTGCAGGAAGTGCTGTATTGTGCAGCTTTTCAACCTGCGCTCCAAAGCCCTGGGTTTTCTCAGGGCTCCTGGGGGTACCACACATGCTTTATTCCGTTGTTATGAATGGGGAAAATATCCAAGACTGCAACCTTTGTTTTCAAAAGGCAAAGAGATCCAGACAACTCATTTTTCTTAGTGCACAGTTTACAATAACAGATGTTATAAATAGGTTACATTTATACTAATAAAATTCTGCTTTTATTTGTTTTAGATATCGGGGTTCCATGTAAGTGGTCATTTGAGATAAAGGTCCTGCTGCTAAAAGTAATTTTTAGAAACACTGATCTGATTAACTTGAGGGAATCTCAGCCATCATAGATAGGAATCCATTGGAGCAGGAAGGAGAAGGAAGTGAATATGTATTGAATGTCTACTGTGGGTCAAGTACTAGGCTAGCTCTTTCATGTGTTACCTCTTTCATTGTCACAGTAATTCTCTGAAATGTGTTTTTATGCCCGTTTTACAAATAAGGAAACAGATACTCAGAGAGGTTGGGTGACTGCCTTAAGGTTGCACAGCCAATATGTGGCAGAGTCAGGATTCAAACTCAGTTCTGACTGACACCAGAGCATCCCTTTTTCCAATATACCATGAGATGTCAATAAAACAAGACTAGTTATTTGTATGGTTCAAAAGCTGGTTCAGAAGCCAATTCCACTGGAAAATTTCTCAAATGTCTTGTCCAGCCTTTCTGGAAAAGTGCATTGAGTGACCATCTTGAAGAACAACATTAATGGATGTGGATGTTCTGCTATGTTTTATTTTATTTTTTTAAGTCTCATCGTACCTCATTTTTTTAGGGCAAAACACACAGCTCTCTGAATTTGGCCAACCCCCACGTTGTCTGGGTGGGCTGTGGAGGGTGTATTTCTAGCACTTAAAACATTTGCCTGACGTGGGCTCAATCATCCTGGTGGCTCCTCCCCTTTGCCTCCAGATCTTTGGTCCTGCTCACACCTGGGCCCACCACCGGGCAGGTGTCATGGGAGAGGGCAGAGCCAAGTGGGGCACAGCAGGAGGAATAGGAAGGAGTTCCTTACCCAAGTTGGGGTCATATTCACTGATAAACCTTCTGGTCAGAAACTTCACGGTCAGGGCTGCAAGAAACAGAAAGACATGGGCTCACAATCAATGATTCTCTGTCATCATTGATGTTTCTCTCTCTCCCTTCCTCTCTGAGGTCAATAAAAAGATATTTTTAAAAAAGGAAGGAAGGAAGGAAGGAAGGAAGGAAGGAAGGAAGGAAGGGAGGGAGGGAGGGAGGGAAGGAAAAGAGAGAAAGAAGTTGGCTCGTCTCCCCTGCTGGGTCTGGCTGCTGGCCCTGGAGGCAGCCCCTTTCATTTTAGGAAGGCCTTATCTAGCCTCTGTGACCCCTGGCTGACACCAAGCCTGAGTCTCTGGGGGAATGTGGCTGGAAGCTGAGGAGTTGGTTTGCGAGGCTCAGAAGAAACCAGAAATATGGGGAACTGTGTCCCTGGGATTTTTTATCTTGGTGGGAGGAAAAGCAATAAGAGACAAGTCTAAGGGGTGTCTGTGAAGATCCAAACTAAGGAGTCAGGACCCATGCAACCCCAACTGAAAGGAGATATCTCCCACCCTGGACAAGCCCCAGAGATTCTGAAACGTGCGGCATTTATTCCAATTTTGGCTACAAGCCAAAAAGAGTAAGAGCCAAGTTGATCAGTGGGTGATCCCTGGGGCAATATGACCCCTTGAGGGCCTGGGATTTGCAGGGACGTCCAGGCAAGATCTGCGTCCTAAGTAAACACGCTTTAGTCCTCAGCCATTCACATCTCCAGCCTTGGCTCTAGGGCCTCCAGACTCATCTTGGTGCCTGGCAGAATGTAAAACTCTAGAATGAAGTTACCCCCAGGTGCAATGCATTAACAGAATTCTGATTTTGTTCAGAATTTAACCACAGAAAGCCAAGGGCCAGCCAACTATTTTACTGAACTCTTAAAAAGTAATGAGATATTTTATTTTTTTAAATACACTTTATTGATTTTTTACAGAGAGGAAGGGAGAGGGATAGGGAGTTAGAAACATCGATGAGAGAGAAAGAGAAACATCGATCAGCTGCCTCCTGCACACTCCCCACTGGGCATGTGCCTGCAACCAAGGTACGTGCCCTTGACCGGAATTGAACCCAGGACCCTTGAGTCCGCAGGCCTTGGCTCTATCCACTGAGCCAAACCAGTTAGGGCAGTAATGAGATATTTTAAAGAAAATCCTGAAAATTCTTTCCCAGGATTCCTATCATGTCAGTTTGCAAAGTAATACCCAGGGAATACATATTTTTAAATTTAGATTCCTTTATTATCGTAGCCACTGGCTAAACTGTACCAGTGACACAGCTCCGGATAACAATTTTATTTTCAAAGGGGAGAAGGCAAATCTTTTCTGTTGGAAAACGTGATTCAGAAGCATCCCTCTCTGAGCCAGAGGGCTGGCTTTAAACGTAGAGAGGAAGCCCCCAGTGAGCCCTAAAAACACCCCGGGGAAGGAAGCAACAGTGAACTGAGCCCATGCTGGCCGTTCACTAAAGGCTGTAACTGCAAAACAGCCAGCGAGGAGCCCCTTCTCCCTTCCCCCCTGCAGCTGCCTTGGACTGTAAGTGGCCAGGGAGGGCTGGACCCTTTTCCTGGGTCTCTGTCTATGGTGACTCCCCCGCTCCCTTGGATCCAGGTGGGCGAGAGCTGCCAGGAATGAAGATGGAGCTCAGTGTTGATAGACATGATTTCAACGGAAACCAAGATCTTGGTTTGTCAAGGATGGTCCTAGCCCTGGGACCACAGTCCAGTTTGTTGCCAGAAAGTCAAGAGAGGGATCTGGCTTGAAACAAATATGTTTGATAAGAATGCACACTTTACCCCCAAATCCCAGGGAACGGAGGAAGGGAGTGGGGAGCAGGCCTGGGAAGTCCCACTAGCCAGTGACTTCTACCAACTCCCTTCAAGGGCCAGTGGCTCCTGCACCTCCAGCCTAAACCAGGGAGTAGCAAGGCTGTGACTAAGCTCACAGGGACCTTGGGGGGAAGGGGGGAGCGGAAATAGTGCCCAATAGGTCCTTTGGTGTCATGCACCACAGCTGACTGCTGGCCCCAGGGAGAGGTGATGGGGGTTAGGGGGAGACCAGCAGAGGTCTGGGAGACACAGATGGACAGAAGGGAGAGAAAGCTGGGGTACAGACATGAAGCACAGAAGCACAATAGGGAGACACAGAGGGAGAGCCAGGCAAGGAACAGAAGACAGATGAGCGATGGAGGAGCTGAGAGCGAAGCAGAGAGAGTGCCAAGCAACAGAGTCATACCCAGGGAATACAGAGAAACCCAGGCAAAGAAGAGAATCAGTGTCTTGCCCAACTCACTGGGTGCAGGCAGCCCCCAAGCCCACAGCGCCCGGATCCCTTCATCTGCTCCCCGGTCCCCACCTCACCCCCATCCCTCCCTGGCACCTGCCCCACTCACCGGACTTGCCCGCTCCGCGGCGCCCCAGGATGGCCAGGGACCTCGAGG